CTGTAGGGAAAGCATCATGAGATTCTGTCCAGCCTGCTGTAGCAAGCTGTAATTGTTTAATCACCGTCATCTGTTTCTGCACTGGGGGTTTCTGTGAACATTTCTCATCATTGATACCACCAATGGTAGCAACATTGGGAGCTAGGGTAAGCAGGGCTCCAGGATCCCATTGCATTAAGTGCAGCCTTCAGAGCAGATTAGCATGACAGTACTTAAAATGCCAGTGACTGTTGGTGCACAGTTCACATGAGCATGTTTATTGATATCACTGATTGGACTCCACTTGGGGTGTCAGTGGTAGGACCCTATAGGAAAGTGTTCTGGTGTAGACAAGGCCCTTTTTGCTAGTTGGGTTCTAGTAACTTCTTGACTTGTGTCTCGGACTCCAATCCCCATCTCAGGACATGTCTACGCTACAAACTGTCGTTGACACAAAGTACATTCTTGTACAATGACCACCATTGCTTGTGCGAATGCATGCTTGGCTGCTTGCATCTGCACTGTATGTGCTCACCAGGAGTGCTTGTGTCACTGCAAAGTGTGTTGCATGTCGCCGTCAGCGGTGTAATGCCTTTTGGGAACTTTTTGCAATGTGTATAGAGTAGAAATGAGTCACATAGGACCTTTGGGAGCTAGGGGTCAAGTTACCAGCATGCAACTTTCTCCATCCCATAATGCCATTTCTCCATCCCATAATGCCATAATAGCCTATAGTTGTGCCTTTTTAAAAAAAATCCCACCAACCCGCATGGCACTTTCAGTGTCTCCCCTCTCTGACAGAAGCATGGAGCCCACAGAGCTCTCTGCTTTTCTCATGAACGTTGCAAACACAGCAGGCACAATTCTTCCGTAGTTACAGACCCACAGGAAGTACCGCAACAATGGGGGACGTGAGGATTTCTTCAAGGACAGTTTACTAAGGGATGTAGCGAAAAACAGTTCAGGGTTGTTGGTGGGGTTCAAAGAGCAGCTGCAGACAGCTGAGCACCACTTCTGGGCTCAAGAAACGAGCACTGGTGGGTGGGATTGCATCATAATGCAGGTTTGGGAAGATGAGCAGTGGCTGCAGAACTTTTGGATGTAAAAGGCCATAGTGCTGGATATCTTTGCTGAGCTGTCCCCAGACCTTCAGCAGAGGGACACCAGAATGAGAGCTGCATTGACAGTGGAGAAGAGTGTGGTGATTTCACTCTGGAAACTTGGAATGCTGAATTGCTACCAGTGAGTGGGAAATCATTTTGGAGTTCGAAAATCCAGAGTAGGGACCATTGTCAGTTAAGTGTGTAGGGCTATTAGTCGTCTGCTGCTACTCAGGACTGTGACTCTTTGCAGTGTGCAGGACATGGTGGATTGCTAGGCAGTGAGGGATTTCTAAACTGCGGTGGGGCAAAAGACCACACACGTATCCCTGTTTTAGCACAAGTCCACCTTGCAACAGAGACATCAACAGAAAGGGTTCCTTTTCTATGGTTAAGCAAGCATTGGTCAGTCACCAGGGACGCTTCAGTGATGCCAGTGCGGGCTGGTCTGTGAAGGTGCATGATGTTTGCATCTTTAAGAACACGGGACTGCTCAGAAAGCTGCAAGCAGGGACTTTCTTTCCCAGCTGGCAGCTTACCATTGACAATATTGAAATGCCAGTATTGATTCTGTGGGACCCAGCCTGCTCTTTGCTCCCCTGGCTCATGAAGCTTATGCTGACCACCTCAAGACCACTAAGGAAAGACTCAGCTACTGACTCAGCAGGTGCAGAATGACTGTTGAATATGCTTGTGGTGGATTGAAGGGATGCTGGTGGTGTTTAATCACTAGATTAGATCTCACTGAGAAAAATATCTCAATGGTTATAGTTGGCTGTTGTGTCTTGCATCAGATCTTTGAGGCCAAGGGGGGGAAGCTGTCATGACTGGCTGTCTGCTGACTTTGAACAGCCAGACACAGGGGCCATCACAAGAGCTGAGAATGGAGCTGGTGATTGAGGGTAGCTTTGAAAGAGCTGCAGTAGGGTGCTGTTCTGGAGTGTGCTGTGGGTGCTGCTAGGAATTAGGTGGTACCTGCTGTCTGTTTATAAATAAGACTGGCTGTTTGCTAGGACGTGTGTGCACTGTGATCCTGTACATTTACAAGTACCGTGTGCTTTCCGTGTCCGGTGTGAAGTAATAAAGAGAATCTCATTCTCAAAAAACAGAAATTTATTGAATTGCACCAACAGCGCAGGAAAAATCAATGCGCAAAAAGCATGCGAGGCAATACAAATGTTAATTGTAAATTAATGGAATGGAACTTGAAGATTGGAAAGGCAACAAACATTTCTGCGCGTTTGAATGCACACGTGTAGTCGATTGTGACTACATGTATACCAGGCGTTGGTCTCTCAGGTTAGAGTATGTGAAGTTGTGGTTTCCCTTGCTGTCTCCTGGCATGGAGTAGTAGGGATAAGGATGAGGCCCAGGATTCCATATGGTATGTAGGGAGCTGGAGTTCTCCAAGGAGTGCAAAGGGTCAGGAGTCTCGGATTTCTGGACTTGTAGCTCACCAGGATCTGCAGCATTTGGGTTTGCTGCATGAGTAGACCGATTACATCCTCGAGCATTTCCCTCTCCTTTTCCTGCTGGGATTCTCGTGCCTTTCTCCTGTTCACTCTTGCTTTCTGCTACATTGGCCCTCCAAGCCCTTTTTATAAGTCTGATGCAGCACTGGCTTGCAGGATCTTGCTGGACCTATCTTTCCTGGTCGTCTTCTTTCTCCTCCTTGTCAGGGTCAGGTGTTCTATAGGAGTGGAGGGGGCAGCCCTTAAGGCCTCCATGCCAGAATCTGCTGTTAACAAAATAGTCAGATGTGCCACAGGATTTAGAGCCACTAGGGGAAGAGAAAGATAAGATTCAAAACTCCTTTCCCTTATTCCCATAAACACTTTTAATAGACATGCTTATTGACACTTCAGCTATGGAGCGCCTGGGCACAGCTCCACTCTCCAGCCCCAGGCATGGTGAGTATGGCCCATCCAGGGCAAGATGGAAGGGGGACCAGGGAAAGGAATTTCTATTGCATGAAACAATAAAATTTCAGTCCCTATTCTAAGGGTGGGAGCATGGAGCAGTGGCACTGAGTGCTGGCCCTGTTTTCCAGAGGCAGTGGAGGTTTTAGCTGGTATCTCACTGCAGAGTGTAACAAAGACACAGAGGGAGCAGCTGCTACTGGCGTCCTGAAGCCACCTGGGTCTGTAGGCTGTTAGCCTGTTTACTGCAGTGGTGCCAGCTGGACTCATCGCAGAGCAGTGCGGGAAAGCATCCTACCACTGAGGAAGAAATAAGGCAGCTATCCCTAAAACCTTTGGCAGAGGATTGCAGAGTATCTCCATGAACGTTTCATTGAGGGACACCCCTATGTACATAAAACCAAACTGCCCTGCATGGCTCACCCTACCCCCCAGCGAGCCCAACAGGGGAATGAAAAGCAGATGCCAATTCTACCTCTGTTTGTTGTGCCACTAACTCTTCTAGTCTGAGTAGAACAATGAAAAGTTGATACCTTTGTCTTGACTTGGGGATGGACCGGGCGCCATCTTTAAACTTAAACATTGTAAGGAAAAATACAGGCCTGTGCTTACCTGAGGTCCCTTCCCCTTCAGCAGGCTCATCCATGTTTGGCTGGCAGGACTGGCTAGACTGGTCAGGCAGGTCCTGGCTCATGACATGGCTAGGCTCCTCCCCAGTTGCCTCTCCCCTAACTCCTGTCTTCCTCCTTGCTGTTCATGGCAGGGGGCTCTGTCTCGGGCTCCTCTGAGGTATCCATTGTGGTCTGTGGTACACTACGGGGACCTCTGCCAAGTATGGCATGCAGCTCATTGTAGAAGCGGCAGGTCTGCGGCTCCGCACCAGATCAATTGTTGGCCTCTCTGGCCTTGTGGTGCGCCTGGCAAAGTTCCTTTGCTTTCACGCAGTCCCTGCCATACCCCTTTGCCTGCACGCCCCTGTGCCTCTCTTTGCAGGTATCCACGATTCTGTGTCTGGTCCATAGCAGTGCTTGCACAGCCTCTTCTCCCCATAGGCGCAGGAGTTGCAACACCTCCCATGTACTCCAGTCAGGAGAGTTTCTGACGCATGGAGCCAGCATGGTTGGTTGGGCAATTGCATACAGCAAGGGTGAGCTGCTAGGTGTATTTGCCAAGGTGGGCCATCAGAAAAAGGCATTTCAGAAATATGCAGGGGACTTTACGGGGGGTGGCTTTGGTCTCTGACCCCTGCTCAGTGGAGTTCACCCTGGTCACAATTGTAATCACTGTCACAGGGAATGGGGAATTGTGGGATAGCTGATGGAGGACTGTTAGGGTCAACATAGTTCATGCGGTGCCATCAACCTTAGCAGTTCAACCATGGCTCAACACCGTTCGGAAGGTGGTCTTACTGTGTCACTGTAATGGGGCACTGATGTCGGCTGGAGACTAATTTAAATGTAGACACATGCACAAATAAGTTGACACAAGGTGACTTGCATCAGCCTAACTTTGGCATGTAGACCAGGCCTTAGAACCATCTATAAATTCTTGGAGAGCTTGGGGCGGGCGAGACGGGGAGCTTGACTTCCAAAGTTCACAGAACTACTCACTGGTTGCAGGGGAACCCTGCTGACCCCCAGCATGTACAGCTAAGAGTTTGATCCCAGTATGGACAGGGTCTAAATTGTGCTGGAAATCCCTCTTCTGTGAACATGCTACTGGGGCAGTACTGCATTCAATAACTGGGGGCCGTGAGGGGAGTTTGAGTACCAATTCCGAAGACTGAGTATAGTAGCAGTTCCATTTTCTGCTGTTTGAATGGGAGGAGGTGGGATCTCAAACTTAGTGTAGTGGTTTCGCTTTAGCACAAAATAAGTCACTAGGGTCAGTCAAATATGGGTGATTTACTTGGCTTTATAATACAGTTAATTACTATACCTGAAAACATTACTATGTATTGACAATACTTTGTGTTTTGTTTAAAAAAAATTGTGTTCCTTAGGCAACTTGTTGCAGCGATGGAATGTTCCCTTAAAACTACAGATGAGCAGACAAATGGCTAGCTCTGGTGCACCTGGGGGCAAAGGCGATAGTTCTGCTTTTGTCCTTATTGTGGGCTTATCAACGTTAGGAGCAGGTGCATATGTAAGTAGAAAGGCAGTTCATGAAAGAAGCTGCAACACAGCTCCTGTTAAATGATTACGTTCTCTTGCCTCCTTTGCCTCTTATCTCTGCTGTTCTTTCCCGCTTTGGAAAAATTCCTAGCAATATAATGTCCAAACTGGAACTGGCTGCAAATTAACCAGTATTTTCTCTTGTCATTTCAGTTACCCTTTGTCTTTACTAGAAAAACATTATTTTCTATATCCTGTGATTAACCACAGTTCTGTCTGTTATCTTGTATGTGATAATTAGCACATAGTTCTGATGGTTTATCCTTTGAGCAACAAACTTAATCAGGCCATTGCTTGCCAAATTTCTTTTTTCGTTTCAAAGTTTAAGTTCTGCATTTGTCCAACTCTGATATTTATAGACCTCTTTTAACCTCCCCTTAGGTAATGGAAAAAGAGCAAAATGGTTCAGCTAGTCTGAGGTGGTAAATCAGGTTCCAAGGCAGAGTGCATTCAAGACACAAATAGTATTTAGTAATGGAGAGGTTCCATTTTAAGGAATATGAATCTACCCTTTGAAGTTCTGTTTCTTACAGGGAAGCATTGTGTACGTTTTTATCTACAGCTGATAGTCTTGATTTAAAACATCAAACACTTAGTGTGGCTATTGCCCTGATTTTACCTTAACGAAACTCTTCACGTACAGGCGGAGCCTGAGAAATAGAACTTTTTATTTATGTTTTTTAAATTTGGGGGAGAAATGTGTTTTACCTATTCCTTTGGCTCTCAGGTATGCCCTGCCACCCTCCTCCCCAATTCAGAGATGCCAGCTCCAACTGCCTGGCAAATGTGATCTGAACTCTGTCATGGAGCTGCAGCCAGGAAGTAGAGCACCTAAGTGGGGAAATGTCAGAAATAATTCCCCCCATCAAATTTTAGAATAAATAAGTCTGCCACTCAGGAGCTTCCTGAATGTGAAAAGCTTCCTTGGGGAGTAGAACCACATGTTATATTGTGTCCTCCTTTAGGAGGGCTTATCTAGCAAGGAAATTCTGTGGAAAAGTTGTTAGAACAAAGGGCTGGGAACGGTAAGTCCCGTGTTCTAATGTGGAAAAGCCATGGACTAAGCATGTGGCCTGGGGGGTAAGCTGCTTGTCTGCTTTCCTGCTGGAAAACTTCAGTAAAACTCAGAATCCAACTAAAAAGTGAGCTCGGCGTGTGAATTGATCTTCCTTGAGAGAGACACATGCCCATCTCCTTCCCCAGCTGCACACAGGAAAGCAGACACCGCATCAGAGAAGAGCCTTTCTGGTTAGAGGATGTTATGTCCACTTTGAAATGAATATGCTCATAAGAAAGGGAAGAGGCTTTCATAGTATTTAAGTCCTGAAATGATAAATATGTATTAGCCACGCTTCTTTTGACCAAAAAGGTAACTGAAAACGAACCCTGCTTCGCCAAGAGGTGTTTGATGAAGTGTCCTCATTAATATTCAGTACTCTTTCCTTCTCTTTTCTTTCGTTGCCTGTCTTCACCTACAGTTTTGCAGTGTCATCATCTAAGACCCCCATCTAGATCTCTAACGTCTACAGGTGTTCCTGGGAAAGATGGCAACAACCTAGTGTACTACTTAATTGTAGGAGGAACAGTCACTGGGGCAGGAGCTTATGTAAGATGATTGAACTAAATGCATTTTAGTGGGAGGGTGGGTGGGGGATACCCTGGCATGATTCAAATCTTTGTGCCTCTCATTTGTCTAATATCCAGTTAGTCATATAACTTAACTAAATCCTCTGATAAGTGTCCTCTCTGCGGTTTTATTTAAAGGGACATTGTCAAATAGTATACAACTCCAAATTTGATCTGTCCACACAATTCAAGTCTGTGACGGGGAAACTTCCTGCTGAGTTTAATTTTTTTACACTGAATATCTAAAGTCAAAATAGCCAGAGCTTGTGTAGGACTGACTGTGTCTTTTGCCTTTCTTCATAGCCAGCAGGGAAGCAAAGTTAATTAACGAGTCACATTACCAGATTTATGCTGACATCATTGAGCTGGTGTACAAATAAATAGGCTTGGCAATATTTGATTTTCATTTTTTATAATTTTGACCCATAATATAAATGTTTATTTTTAAGCATTTTTCCCAATTTTGTCATTTCAAATTTTCACAGTTGTACAAAATTATGGGGTGCCCAGATAATATTTTTCTTAATGATAGATATTGATATTCAAAAATTAAAACTTTATATATGTTAAAACACAAGTTGTCAACATTACATCAAAGTATACAAAGTAAATATCCTTAAAGCAGACTCTTAGTTCTCAAGCAGCATTTGTCTTTGCCTATCTGTATATTTCAGTTATCTATGGAAATACTTTGGTTGCATGTATGGTGAAATAGACGTTCACCAACATATACTGATGATTTAATCCTTCCAAGCTTACAAATAAGGAAGTAACCCACTAACTTCAAGCTCCATTAGAAAAACAGGGGCAATCCATTTACCTACTTTTGTAATTATGCTACAGAAGGAGCATTAAATAAAGCACTTCTGTCAAATAGCTAAGAGGGTAGCTTTGTTTTTTATTATAAGTACTTAGCAGTGTCCCTTTGGAAAACCTATCCAGAGGTAGTGCCTGAAGTGGTTCAATCTAATATGTGCACCTATATGTATCTGCTTTCCTGAATGGTCAGATTTTGATTTGTTGTATGCTGCCTTTTTAACTAATTTCTCAACTTCACACTATTCTACTTCTCTCTAAAACACAGAGGTAGGTTTACAAACCTTGGGTTTGTACAGTTGATTACAAGTAACAGTTTAAAATGTTTTATGCTAATTTTTCTCAAACAGTACTTCTATTATGCTTGAAATTTTGCTTCTATCCCAGAGATATGCTTTTGTCTGCCTCTGCTTTTTATTCATGTTCTACATTAAGATTGAAATCATTCAGATTTCATTTGAGACTTTACCTTGCTTCACTATGCAAAGCTTAATCTTGGAGATAAGTAAAGTTTGAACTGCATAGGCAGTAGGAGCGATGCCAAAAACCTCAAGAGAATAGTTAACTTCATTTTAAACAGAGTTTGGATCTCATAATATTTTGCTAATAAACTGTTAAATGTCTTCAGTGTCATTTGGTTTTTGCTGTTGCAACTTTAGTTGCCCTGACTTTGAATTTAAAGTGACACGTTGCACATTGCAAAGATCCAAGTTTGTATGCTGTTTTAATGTCCTCTGAGAAGGGTCCAAAACGTGGTATCTAATTATTGTATGTTAAATTGTAGCAGTTGCTTTTCCTTAGAGCATTACGAGAGATGCAATGCATGTCGGTTTTACGTAATCACACGAGGCTAGGGAATACCTTCAGACAGTTAATTTGCTTCCCTTTTATTTATTAGTTCTCTGATGGGGAGTAGGAGGGTGGAATACCTTGCTACAATCCGCTTCCAGAATGTCCCTTTCTCTTCCACTCCCCATGCACATGGGAGTTTTTGAAAACTGGTTTCGGAATATATCCTCCATATATGTTCTCTGAATAAAAGTCTCCCCAGAATACAGCTTGTGCTCTCCTATCATTTTCCTGAGGTCTCCACATATCTTCGTGGGGAAAGATGCTCAGCTGAAAGAGGTTCCAGGTGTTTAGTATCAAGTTCCTGACAAAAATCCATGCTTCCCTTCCATGGATGTGTTGACACTGACATCTTAGCTGCTGACCCTAGAAGTGTCTGAGAGATGTTTAAAAGATCTCATGTGGATTCTTTTCTAAGCCAAGACAGTTAAGTTGAGTTATTTCAGAGCCTCCAAGGCCCTTGTCTAGACTAGGATTTAAAGGTGTGTGATTTAAACTTGCTAACCTCATGCCTTTAAATGCTAGCCTACACAAGGCTCAATTCCCTACAAGTTTTTCTTTTCTTGGGACTCAAGTAGTTCCTTGGATCTCTGCTTTTTCTGGAAGATTTTGTCTTTCCACCAAGAACTATAAAAATACGTTTCTCCCTCGTTGAGACTCAGAATGACTCTCAAGTCCTAACTGACAGGGACCATTGCACATTCCAAGCCAGTCACGCTGCCAGGCCTTCACCCAATGTTTTCTCCTAAATGAAAGAGACATACTCTATTTTTGCCTTGTTAAGACCATGAATCAAAAAGGATTTAGCTCTGTCAAAGTTGGGCATCTTTGCTGCTTCAACCAGTATTCTTTAATCACAGTATAATTCCTGTTGTAGAAGGTCAAACTCTCAGTACCTATGCTTTTTGTGGTGCTGATTTTTACAGGTAGGAAGCCACTAGACAGATTAAGATGACTTGGGTCTCTAGCATTAAATGTGTAGGCTTTACAGTATTTGGGGAAGGCTTGAATATTTCACTCCTCCTCTGAAGACAGTGAATTTTTGTGTTTCATTGTGTTCTACCATCTTTAACTGAGCAGTGTCTCCCCACAAACAAGCAAAAAACTATCACCTTGTTGTCCTCTTCCTTCACCCCATTGGCCTAGGGTACATGTTGCAGTTCTCCAGCCAGAATTTCTCCTCATTCTCTTTCCAAATAGAGAACAAAAATGAGGGGGTTACAAGGCAGTTGTCTCCTGGCATCTCCCAACTCTGTTCCATGCTCAAGGGTCTTCTCCATCGTAGATATGAATGGTCCTACTCAGCAGTCGTTGCCATCTTCCCCAGTTAGACTCTGGTTTGCCGCTTTGGAGCCCTATCCAGCTAGTCCAGGCTCTGCTGTGCTCTTCTGCTGTGCAGTTGGGAGCTGTTTTGCTTTCTGTCTGCTTTTTCTTGCTGCAGCTTTGTGTACATCCTGTCTTGCTGTCTTCCTTCTCTGCTCCAGAATAGCTTTCTGCAGACCCAATTGCTTGTCCTGCCATGGCCTGCCCTTGCAAAGAGCCTAGAGGGAGTCTGTATTGGGTGTGTTGCCTTTGTGGCAAGGCCCATATAAATACAGTCCATCTTGAAACAAATCTTCAGCTCGACTCCCAGACATCTGCAGAAATCCTCAGTCCATGATTAGGAATGCACCCAGACAGCGAAGTCTCACGAATAGAACAGTGGAGGAATCTGAGATTCCTCCGCTAGATGCATTATTTTGTAGACTTACCTACACATGCATGTGTTCTCTTTTAACAATGAGCTGCATTTTGCTTCATTTGTTTAATTGATGGCTCTTCTGAGCGAGCAGAGTGGACAAAAGCCTACCAATGAGTTGAAGCACAATGTTACATTGATGCAGTGATATGCACATGGTAGATGCGTAACTGCCATCCACTTTTCTCCTCTCCAGGTGTACAAGACGCTGAAAGAAGACCGAGAGAGATTCAATGACCGCATTGAAGCAATGGCTATGAAATCCCAAGACGTAAAGTCCACCTCTGGTGGGTAATAGCCTATCATAGCTACGAGCTATATCCCAGTTTTAAGAGTCTCAGAAGAAAGGGTTTTTCTTAAAAGTGATCACTTGGGACATCTAAAACTAGACTGGACAAAACACTCTTCAAAGCCCCATGTAGCACTAAGCCAGGGCAGGAGAGCACTTGTCAGCCTTTGATACACTCAGCCTTGTGCCTTCAAGCATGCACAGTGGTGCTAGCCATCCAAATGGCTCTCTGTAAAAGGGCAAGAGGAAAGCATAGGGAAGTTTCTAAACCTCTTTTCTTGGCCATCTGGTAGCACTGTAAAAACAAAACAAAAAAACCCCAAACTTAACCATATTTCAAGTTTCCTGGATTTTGTAGATCGTCCCCTTCCATCACTTTGTGAACCCAGTAGCTCTTTGTGGTCCAAGAGCCACTTCCAACTTATTTTCCATTTCAGAAACTATATTTGCACAATTACATTTCCCAGTTTAATTTTTATACTGTCAGGTGTCTCAAACTGCTGCTGAAATGGCAGCTTGACACAAAGGCCCTCGCACATCTTTTAGAGCATCACTTCTCAAAACTGCGGTCTGTAGATTTCTTCTGGGCCAAAGAATGAAACCTCTTGAGAACTGGCCAATGGGGACTTGTCCTGGGAAGTGAGGGGTAGGTCCATGAGAAGTGCTCTCTTATGAAGCTAACAGGAAGAAAAAGCTGGAGATTCACTGCGTTTTGGAGGATTTGTAGATTAAAGCCAGAAGATCCCATTAGATCATCTAGTCTAACCTCCTGCATCACACGCCAGTGAATTTCACCAGTTACCCTGGTATTGAGACCAATAACTTGGACGACAGCAGATCTAAGCCAGAGCTGGGGTTGAGGGAGAGAACTCTCTAGGTTAAATGTTGGAACAGCAGTCTAATGACAGAGGCTGTTACTCACTAGAAGCTCTACCGCCTTCATTGAGGGGAGCTTGCTGATTCTGAGGAATCCAGAGATTAATTCTGAATTGTGGCTTCCCAAGTACATTCTTGTTTGTTTGCACCTTGCTGAATTAAGTCTAGTATCTTGTCTCTTCCAGAAGAGGGTGCTGCCTCCCAGGCCACAACAGATGGGAAGGAATCCAGGAATCACCCTGGTAACTCTGAACTTGGTTTTATTTCTGTATGCAGGATAGTCATATGTTCCTTAAAACAGGGTTTGAATGTGTGTAGGAGAAACACATTCCTATGAGCTGGTCTCCATCTCAGTATATGAGTAAAAGAAAGAAAATGTCCCCCAGGATTTTTTCCTGGTGGTTTCAAGTATTCCATGTCTTTGGATTACTTGCAAGCTGTGCACTAAATGGCAAGAGCGAAATTTTGATCCTGCCTGTAAGTGATTCTGGTTTTAAAATGTAAAGATTTCCTATATCAGAGATTTAAACAAAGCAACCACTTGGAATTTGGCATTTTTCAAACTCTAGTAGCCTCATCTCCCTGGTGTTTGAGCATTTTGCAGGCTGCGTAACTTACACGGATGTTGTAGTACTTCACTTGCTCAGCACTAACCAGTTGTTTGATCCTGTGGGGTTCAAAGACATTGAATCTTTGATGCTTTGTCTGGAATAAACTACTATCTTGAGCTATAAGGAGAATCTGAAGCTTTTAAAGTTGCACGTTGAGTGCCAACAATAAGCTTTGTGGGTCCTTGAATGTGCTGCAGCCACTTCACCCAGCTATGTGCATTTAAGCAGAGCTTTTTTTAATGGAGGTTTTATAAATACAACAGGAGCCTTGATGAACGTTTGAATAGCAGTCTATAGCTAAGAGCAGTAGCAATGCTCAAATGAGTAAGCAACTCCATTTGATGCCTAATAACAGGCTGTCCCAATGGGGTTAGAGTTCAACCTCATTATGAAGGTTCCTTTAACAAACTCTCTCTCTCTCTCTTTTAACAGCAGAGCAGGGGTTGACAACAGCTGAGCAGGGAGGTGAGTGAGCACAGCTTCCATTGTTGGGGTTATCTTATTGGATTCTTTTGTTCTTTCCAGAATCCTCTGCTGTGCCTCTTAGATGTGTTGGCTCTGCAGGGTAACTGGGTTAAAAACTTGATTTAGTCACTAAATTTAGCAGGCCTGACTGGCACGTAGAGGGAGCTAGGTATGCTGAGTTAAGAAGCCGTTTTTCCATAGGTTTCAGAGTAGCAGCCATGTTAGTCTGTATCTGCAAAAAGAAAAGGAGGACTTGTGGCACCTTAGAGACTAACCAATTTATTTGAGCATAAGCTTTTGTGAGCTACAGCTCATAGTATCTCTTCTGATGCTAACTACACATCAACATCCTTCACTGTTTCAGGCTGCTCCTTGGCGAGGGTAGTGTCTCCCAGAATGTCATGCAGGATTTGAGAAGCCATCCTCTGGGTGAGGGGATGGGAGAGAGCAACCTTTAGTGAATATGTAAGGGACAGCAGTCCACCAAAGAGAATTACCAGTATTTGAAATCCAAAGGATGTCATGATTCTTTCAAGGGTGAATGTTTTCCTTCTGCTGTTTGGGGGCAGGCAGTGTTCCTGGTGGAGCTTTGTTGCTGTATTCACAACAGGCTGTCTGATCTGTTGCTTTGCAGCTCCAGAGACAGATCCGAGTGCTCGCCCTGAATGTCCATCCCATGCTCCTTTCCTGCTAATTGGTGGAGGCACTGCTGCTTTTGCTGCTGCTCGATCCATTCGGGCTCGTGATCCTGGGGCTAGGGTAAGGGATGTGCACAGCTCTCCTCTAGAATGGCGCATGTCTAAAGCCAGATGATGTGTTCCCTTTAGAGCTTGTACATTTCATTCTGCCATTCTCAACTTGTAAACATAGTTGAGGTTGTTAATGATTTCCCATATTAAAGGTGCTGATTGTTTCTGAAGATCCTGACCTGCCATATATGCGTCCTCCTCTTTCCAAAGAACTGTGGTTTTCAGAGGATCCGAATGTCACGGAGACTCTGCGATTCAAACAGTGGAATGGCAAAGAGAGAAGGTATGTGCCATCTGCATGCAGTGATTAATGGGAATTGAATTAATTGCTTAATGACACTTTGAGTGTCCAAACTATGCTCATCTGGGAGTCACTGGCAACCTGCTTAGGTGCGTGAAAGCCACCGGGCTTAAAATGGAGCAGCTTTCCATGCACTTATCTTCACTATGGATGGACAGCCTATTGAGAATACGCATCCTGCCGTGCATTGTGGCTAGACTGCTCCAGGAGCACTGTATGCTGGTACACATGGTTTCCAAGAGCCACATCTTTGTACTGACGATAACCGCTGCAAGCTGCCCTTTTGAGCTCCTTAGTTCACTATGTACACTGACTACGCTGAGTCCCTGGCTTTAAATGCTGAGACTGTGCACAGACTTGTCAGTTGGGAGCACTAAGCAACAAACTATAAACCCAGGATGTTGCAGCGCTGGAGACCGTTATGGTGAAGTGCCCGTGCAGAGCATGAGTGTGTCTCCCTGTTGTGCTACAGCCTGTATCTTCCTCTGTCTTCAGGGAAAATACTGAACACTTAAGAACTGGACTGTATAACCTCCAGGAAATGAGCTTAAAGAAAGTGATGCAATTATGTGGTGCAAAGCTGACCTCCGTGCAATTTTGACTAGACCTGCGTGGCTTCCTCCATTGTAGAGCATTGCTGTACTAGTGATTTGGTTTTGAACAGTACAGACATCCTAGTTTTATGAAACAAAATCCTTTCTAGAATTTGCAGGGGAAGAGTGTTACCATATCAGAAGTTGTTTTTCTCTTTGTAAACTCCCATATGTGTTTCGATGGGTGGGTGCTCTTCCAGTCATTGAGTAGCTGCTAATGTGGGAAAACCAGCGATACTGTGTACATTGAAGCCCTTTTTCTCTACAGTATATATTTCCAGCCGCCTTCTTTCTACGTACCTGCTCGTGATCTGCCTTATATAGAGAATGGTGGTGTGGCCGTCCTCAGTGGCAAGAAGGTGGGTACAGCGTTACAGCGCCATACATTTACACAGCCCTTTACAAACAGCAGAGCTTACAGCCTAAGAGTCTGTCTACACTGCGTTTTAAAACCCACAGCAGTAAGTCTGAGCCCCAGTTGACAGGTGTAGGCTCGTGGTCTGGTACTAAAAACAGCTGTGCAGACATTTGGACTGGAGCCTGGCAATGGGGTGTTACTGAGGCTGCCAAGCACCACCTGACCCTGAGCTGGTGTGTGTAGTTAGCTTTAGGAGCCTCCATACAAGTTTCGTGGTCGGAGTGAGTAGGGAGCCTGGCTGCCCATTCCCTCCCCTGTACACCTGGTAGCTGAGCCCAGAATGCCTTTGGTTTCAGTGAGCCTATCAGTCCTGTAGAATAATAGCAGGTGCCTGATCTGCATTCCCCTGAGAGTCAGCAATGATGGAGAGGAACAAGCCTAGGGAAGGTTCAGTCTGAGCTTCGACCTACGGCCAAGTTAAAACCTCTTGTTTAGTTCTGAAGCCGTGCTCCTTCCTCAGCTCCCTTTCTCCAGAAAAGGGAGATTCTACAGGGAAACCTTGTTCAAGCTAGGGTATCTTCTGTGACTGTTTCTCTGCCTGATAAGCCTATGCCCACTGATCAGGGCTACAGGACATGTAAACCTGAGCTGCTCTCTGCATTGTGCCTTGCAGGTGGTGCATATGGATGTTCGAGGCAATGTGGTGAAACTTGATGATGGAACCCAGATATCCTATGATAAATGTTTAATTGCCACAGGTTAGTTCCGTGGTGTGTCGTCTTTCCCTCACATGTTAATTCTTGGGCTGACGGTAATATCATACACCGTTTTGGCGAGGTTCTTTGTTCTCTGAGACAGTAATACAGACCCTTCAGCTGATGGGGACTTGAACCGAGCAGACTTGTCTAGGACAGTTACATGGACAGGGATGTGCCTGATGGGAATTTGTGTCTGGTCCAGTGCAGTCCAACTCCTCCCATGGAAATCATGGGATGTCTCTGTTCTCCTCTGACTGTGCCACAGGACAGCAGGGGAGGCATGCTAAGCCATGCCCAGCAAGCTGAGAATTGACTTCTGAGAAGATATGGGGAAGGAGGTTCTCATTTCAAGTCTGACATAAGTATTCTTGCCAGCAAGTTAAAGAAGTATGGGCTGGATGAATGGACTATAAGGTGGATAGAAAGCTGGCTAGATCATGGGGCTCAACGGGTAGTGATCAATGGCTCCATGTCTAGTTGGCAGTGGTATCAAGTGGAGTGCCCCAAGGGTCGGTCCTGGGACTGTTTTTGTTCAATATCTTCATTAATGGTCTGGAGGATGGCGTGGACTGCACCCTCAGCAAGTTTGCAGATAACACTAAACTGGGAGGAATGGTAGATACGCTGGAGGGTAGGAATAGGATACAGAGGGACCTACACAAATTAGAGGATAGGGCCAAAAGAAATCTGATGAGGTTCAACAAGGACAAGTGCGGAGTCCTGCACTGAGGACGGAAGAATCCCAAGCACTGCTACAGACTAGGGACCGAGTGTCTAGGCAGCAGTTCTGCAGAAAAGGACCTAGGGGTTACAGTGGATGAGAAGCTGGATATGAGTTAACAGTGTGCCCTTTTGCCAAGAAGATTAACTACATTTTGGGCTGTATAAGTAGATGCATTGCCAGCAGATCGAGGGACTTGATCGTTCCCCTCTATTTGGCATTGGTGAGGCCTCCTCTGGAGTTCCGTGTCCAGTCCCACACTACAAGAAGGATGTGGAAAAATTGGAAAAAGTCCAGCAGAGGGCAACAAAAATGATTAGGGGGCTGGAGCACATATGTCAGGATTCCCTCCCCACTCTGGGATACAGATGTGGGGACGCTCATGAAAGACCCCCTAAGCTTATTTCTACCAGCTTAGGTTAAAAACTTCCCCAAGGCACAAATTATTCCTTGTCCTTGAACGGTATTGCTTCCACCACCAAGTAAGTTAGACAAAGATACAGGAAAAGGACCTCTTGGAGTTCCTGTTTCCCCAAGATATCCCCCCAAACTCCTTCACCCCCTTTCCTAGGGAGGCTTGAGAATAATATACCTACCAAATAGGTAAACAAGGTGAGCACAGACCAGACCTTTTGGGTTTTTAGGATACTAAAAACCAATCAGGTTCTTAAAAGCAGAACTTTATCATAAAGAAAAAAGTAAAAGAAGCACTTCTCACTTCTATAAAATCGGGATGGAAGGTAATTTTACAGCGTAATGAGATTTAAAACACAAAGGATTCCCCCTCTAAGCAAAACTTCAAAGTTACAAAAAACAGGAATAAACCTCCCTCTTAGCTTGTGAATTTTCCCTATGCTAAAACAAAAGATAATCTATTGCATTTTCTTGCTATTACTTACAATTTCTGTAATTTTAGATGTATAATTTCAGTAGGAGCTGGATTACCTGCTTGGTCTCTTTATTTGTCTCAAGAGGGAACACACACAAAAGAGCACAAACAAAACCTTCCCCCACAGATTTGAAAGTATCTTCTTCTCTTATTGGTCCTTTTGGTCAGGTGCCAACCAGGTTATTTGATATTCTTAATCCCTTTCAGGTAAAGGAGGGATTTTATGCTACCCGTAGCTGTATATTTATGACAACATGACTTATGAGGAGAGGCTGAGGGAACTGGGATTATTTAGTCTGCAGAAGAGAAGAATGAGGGGGGATTTGATAGCTGCTTTCAACTACCTGAAAGGGGGTTCCAGAGAGGATGGATCTAGACTGTTCTTAGTGGTAGCAGATGATGGAACAAGTAGTAATGGTTTCAAGTTGCAGTGGGGGAGGTTTAGGTTGGCTATTAGGAAAAACTTTTTCACTAAGAGGGTGGTGAAGCACTGGAATGGGTTACCTAGGGAGGTGGTAGAATCTCCTTCCTTAGAGCTTTTTAAGGTCAGGCTTGACAAATCCCTGGCTGGGATGATTTAGTTGGGGATTGGTCCTGCTTTGAGCGGGGTTTGGACTAGATGACCTCCTAAGGTCCCTTCCAACCCTGGTATTCTATGATAAGGCTCTGAGTGCCAAGCAAGGCTCAAGGTCCTGCATGCCTGAGGAGTGATGGGGAGAATCTAGCTCCGATCCCCTCTGTAGTGGGGCATTGCTGCTATAGCCTATGATTCTTAGTCCCGGCTTGCAAACTCATCTGGTGGAGAGGGCTGGATTCCCTTTTTTATCATGGTCAGTGGGCCAGGGTGTGACATTAGGACAGAGTTTATGGGAGATCACCCATGATTGTGCAACCTCCCACCCTCACCCCTCATGGTAAGTGTGGAATATGATCTTTAGGTGGTAACGAAACTGTTTGTTGTTACCTTATCTATTATTTGTTCAGTACCTTGCCACCTTTAGTGTTACTTAGTGGGAAAATCATCTTTCTGCCGTGTGTTCTGTTCCTTCCCAATTCTCATTCCTGGCTTTCTCTACCTCTTTCCTAGTTTTCCTTCTTTTCTCTCTCCCTTCAATTTCCTCCCTGAAGCTGTTCCCACTCCCTTCCACTAAAATGGTTAGCACTGAAATGGCTAACATTGACATTCAGGGTGTCATTGTAAGGGTTTAGAGTTAAATAGCCCCATCTACAGATTATGTATGTATTATATTGGTTACTTAAGAATTCCCAGTTGTCGCTCTGAGGTTTGAAAGGTTCTTGTCCCAAAATCAGCCCCATTATTATTAAAATTACTGTTCGGGGGAGCCCCGACGTGCACAGTTGCAACACTCACACTTTAGGACCCCTTCTATATTTACAGTAGTTTGTTAATACATTTAGCAAAGTCCCAAACTCTAACCCAGCAAGGTAGGTAGAGAGAATACAGAATGTCCATCTGCACATCCAGACTCTCTCCTTCCCTTGCAGAACAACCTGAAATGTTAGCCATTATCTTCCTCATCACCATCACCTTCCTCACCATCACCAGTGGCCATCGTCCTGGCACCTCCCATCTCTCTCTCACCCTGCACGTAGGATGGGCTACAACTTGTATAATATGTTATATGCTTATGCCACTCTGTGTAATGCATATTCAGTAGGGGTTTCTCTACTCTTCCTTGTTTGTATTTCCTCACCTTACTAATGTTGGGGCACCCCTCTCCTATAGGTTAGTACATTAATGATCTCCGTATCATATATGTCAGTTCATTGCCATGGCAGTCTTGTGGTCAGACATCTGCAGATGTTCCCATTCTAAAATATCTAAAAGCTGGTGTTAGCTCATGTTCCTGTGGTTGGCTGGTGTCATTATGGACAAACTTCCCCCTTACACACACTGTTCCCAGTTCCCCAAAGCTTAGGGGTGACCATTAGGCCATTTACCTGTGCCAAACTTCATAGGCCTGAAGCTGATGTTTTACAGGGGACAGGCCTGTAGGTTCCTTGTGTTAACTGCTGAATGAAATAAATACCACAGTTAGCTCTATGGAAGAGGTCCCCAGACTTTCTCTCTCACCACCGCTTACCTGTTTCCGCCCCCCCACCCTGTGGGGACATGGCTCCAGGAGAGGGGGGGACGCATACAGAGGTAAGGGGGTCGAGGCTGGGACTACAGCTAGGGGCAGGGAAGTGGCCAGGAGTGGATCCCTGGGTGCACGGGCCTGGCAGCCAGGGCCCTGGATGTGGGGCTAGGGTCAGAAGCGGAGTTGGTGGGTGGCACTCCCTCCCCGCCCCCCTGAACTTTGCTCCACACCCCCTGGTGTGCCCTACAGTTTGGGGACCTCTGCTTTATGGGCTATAGTTCTCATCCCAGTGAGATTAGTGGAGGACAAGGGAGTCCATCCTTCTGAATGCTTGTTTCAGGCTGTCTGCAGACTCAAGCAGACATCCCTGCATTGGTTACACTTGAGGCACATTTAGAAAAGTTTCTTCACAAACAGAAAGGCTGGAAACGTATGAGTACTTCCCCCCTGCAAAGATTCTTCATGTTCTGAATGTCCTGGAGGCTGTGTAAATACATCAGATGGGTTGTATTTGGCCATGTTTGATGCTTACTGTGCTCTATTATTTTGAGCTCTTTAGAGTCGTTCATACCCGCTGATGAGCTTGTCAATTGTCCTTGTCCCATTTGACAATACTGATTTCTTTTGAACCCTGTGTTTTGAACAGAGCTGAGATGTACATGAATGTGTCTGTCTGTCTGGTAGGGGTTGGAGTAAGTTCTGCAGCAATAGGAGCCCAAACCCAGATTCTACAGCTTTGCCTGGAGGGCTAGTGCTCTCATCTGAGTGTTGTGTTGCTAGTTGTCTCTCTTCCTGTTATTAGGTGGTTCCCCAAGGAATCTTCCTGCAATCGAGAGAGCAGGGAAAGATGTGCAACGAAGGCTGACGCTGTTCCGCAAGGTAATCCAAGGGGCTTTTTTCCTTGTGTGCTCTCTGAAGCCTGTCACGATGGGGTCGGTTACCCTCAGCCTGTGCTAACTCTGCGCTGACTCGGATTCTTAACCGATCTTGCCCATCAGGAACTGGCCTCAATCAGTAACTAGAAGGTCCCTCATACGGCTTTGCTGGCCACAAACAAGCTAACAGGGTAGCTATGTTAGCATCCCACCACTTTGTCCCCAGGAAATTAGAGCCCTCGCTTCAGGATTTTAGAGATAAATTAGGCATAGGACTTTCTCGTATCTCCCAAGCATTTCACATGCAATAATGAATTGAGCACTCTCCAACCCCCAGGAGGGAAAGGGTGGGGTTATCATTAGATTAGATACAAATTAGGCACAATAAGGGTAAATTATTTTCCCACAGCCATATTGATTGAGTCAAGATATCCTGATTCCCAGGCCAGTGCAATAAGCACAAAAGCATTCTGCCCCTGTCTTGTCTGGCCCAGATGGATTAGAGCAGAGGATTTAAAAGTCTAGGAAGATTCCACTAACCACTTGACCAGCTAGCTTTGGTAGACCGTTGCACGTGCACAGAAATTTCAGTTTCAATAGTAACTAAATGTGGATGGGGGGTGGAAAGTTACCTCTTTGGCTCATGCTTCCCTCTCCTTAACCCCAGTATGGTGCATGTGTCCTGGGAAGCATCTCATCCCTGCTTGCAGAGGCCTTTCCTATATACAGTTCTGTTCTTCCTTCATCAAGGGCAGCATGCTTTATAAGTAGGGCCCTACCAAATTCACGGTCATGAAAAACATGTCACAGACCGTGAAATCTGGTCTCCCACCATGAAATCTGATCTTTTGTGTGCTTTTACCCTACGCTATGCAGATTTCACGGGAGAGACCAGCATTTCTCAAATTGGGGTGCTGATCCAAAAGGGAGTTATAAAGGGGTCACAGTATTGCCACCCTTACTTCTGTGCTGCCTTCAGAGCTGAACGGCAGGAGAGCAGTGGCTGTTGGCCGGGTGCCCAGCTCTGAAGGCAATGCCCCACCAGCAGCAGTGCAGAAGTACGGGTGGCAATACCATACCGTACCATGCCATCCTTACTTCTGCACTGCTGCTGGCTGCGGCTCTGCCTTCAGAGCTGGCATCCCGGCCAGCAGCTGCCGATCTCCAGCTGCCCAGCTCTGAAGGCAGCATCACCACCAACAGCAGCACAGAAGTAAGGGAAGCAGTACTGCGAACACCCCCCACCCATCCCCCCCAGTGTTGGTGGTGTTTTGAAATATAAATGGGAGGAAGTTGAGGCTCTTTTCTAGTTCAGTTACTGAACCAGTGCTAAGGAGCCGTGCTGTGTGCTACCAATTGGCAGACCAGCTTTTAGTCCTGAACTCCTGCTGAGCGCCTGGTGAGGTTGACATGCTCAGCTGGGGAAGGGAGAAGGTCGACAACATGGTTCGAGGTTGCTTTAGGGCGATACATGGAGGCCCATTTGCAGCACCGTTAATTGGGATTAGGCTTCTTGGCTGGAGGGGAATTGTTATGAGGAGATGGTTCACCCCGGGAGTGGGAAGGATCTCTTTGTGCTCTGGATCTCTGCAGGTGGATCAAATCAGACTGCAGTGGAAATTCAAGAGTTACTGCTGAAAGTACAGAAGGGGAAATATGTACAGCTGACTCAGCCCAGAGAGTTTGGGACCAATTTCCTCATGTTCACAAATCATTTGGAGGCAGGATCTGGAGCAAAATGCTCTCTGCTGTTTGTCACTGACCGGGGCATCTGAAATGGAAATAAATCTTCTTACAGATTGAGGACTTCAGAGCTCTAGAAAAGATTTCAAGAGAAGTCAAGTCCATCACCATTATTGGCGGCGGCTTCTTGGGTAGTGAGCTGGCCTGTGCTCTGGGAAGAAAAGGTGAGTGGTTTGCACCAGGCTGCTTGCTTCAGTCTCTTGCACGAGGCAACACATGTGAGACTGACACATGTCAAGAAACCCCGGAGAGACCCAAGCTAGAAAAATCTGAGGGCTTGTCTAGTCAAACGCTTAGCTTTACAGCAAGCTAGGGTGTGACTCTACCACTTGCTAGCCTGCCTGTCTGTGTGGACCCTGCTGCTGCGAATTAACGCTTCCTCTGTGCACTTTGACCTACTCGTGTTTCAAAGTAAGGTAGGTGAAAGTGCACTAGGGAACTTTTAGTGCATGGCAGCAGGGTCCACATAGACGCTCATCATGCAGCAGGCTAGTGCGGGGTAGATTTACACCCCAGCTTGCTGCGAGCTAAGGGTTTGTTTGAACAAACCCTCAGATTACGTCCTTCCCTCTTCTCCACCCACCTCTGGTCTTATTTTGGAAAGGGAAGGTGGGGGTTGGAGTTCCCTGCCGGTCAAGGCAGTTGGCCAGCAGAACGGATGTCTGTCTGCCTGCCTGCCTGTAGTGGTCTGGTGCATTATTACATGAACTCTTGGCTGGCTGTGTGGACTTGTCAGGCTCTCCATTGCCCCACAGTCATCTCCTTCGCTAATGGTCCAGTAGTCCAGGGCCCCAGTGCATTTTGAAGTGCTTCCCAGTTCTTTGAGCCTGGCTCTTTTGGACTTGCTGTCTGGAATAGCAGGCGGGTTTGAGTAAATTTGGAGATCAGTGCTCCTTGTGGAAAGGGTCAAGTTTGCCTTGTAAATGAAGCCCCACTCCAGTAATTCTCCCAAAGGCCTGTGAGCACAAGCCCAACACTGCTGGTTTGGGTTTTCACCAGCAAGTGTACATACATTCTTGAATATCTTCCTCACCTAACCTCTGCAGGTCTCCCAAGGAACAGGCCTCTCTGCGTGCATGTAATCCCCCCTCAGGCAGTCGGAGCAGTTAAATGGACACCACTGAGACTGTTTTAGGCTAACACAATCCTGTCTGTGTGTAAATCCAGTGTCTGATCCCACAGTGTGTGCTAGTGCCAGTCAGGGATCCAGACAGTGTCTGACCCCAAAGGCCAGAAACAGTCCCTTTGTTACTCACCCGTGATGCAAACTCTGGAAGCCAGGACATGGGGTTAGAGTGATTTGTGTCTAGGAAATTGCAGTAAGAAAGGACTTGAACTCCTCTTGTCTAAGCAGGGTAAACTATCTTGGGGTGTGTTCTGAAGTTTTGCGTAGCTCCTCGTTATCCATGTGGTATAAAGGGGCTGCTCTCTGGGTCTCTTCACAGTACATGCCACAGGGCTGGAGGTGATTCAGATGTTCCCAGAGAATGGCAACATGGGCAAGGTCCTGCCTGAGTACCTGAGCAACTGGACCACAGAGAAAGTCAAACGAGGTAAAGCTGTTCCTTAACCCCTTCCTTTCTTCTGAGCTCCTGCTCCTCCTACGAGGTAGCCTGTGGGAGCAGTAGAGTAGATCCATCCTCACCAGTATTACTCTTGTAAAGTATATGACAGCAGCCCTCATGGTGGTAGAGCACTGCTGTCTCCTAGCTTGTCCCCAGGGAAGAGCCTCTACCTTTTCGTCAGTGAACTCTTAGTCAGACATCTCCTTCCATGGGAATTGGTGTCCTCACGAAAGCTTATGCTCAAATAAATTCCTTAGTCTCTAAGGTGCCACAAGTACTCCTGTTCTTTTTGCGGATACAGACTAACACGGCTGCTACTCTGCAACCTTTGGTAGTGTCACTGATTTCATCTTTCATGCATGTGCTGTAGAATCTATAATCTGCTTAGGTTTTAGGCTTAGCTGGTTCTTCTCACTTGGACCTGATCATACGCTCCTTTCCATGCAGCTCTGGAGCTATGGCTGGAGTTTTGGCTCTCCCTGCATCCCCTCCGAGGAGTGTCCCTTCACTCCAGAGGAGGGGGTCCTGCTTGAGCATTTGCCTAATGCTGAGAGGGGATTTCTGCTGCAGAAGAGGCACAAGTCCGTTGCCTAGCAACCCATGAGCAGAACAGGACGTGTTTTGGCTAGAACCACTCGACTGTTTAGATGGCACAAAACAGCCCTAAAGCTGGCTTACCTGGCTGCTTGAGGATTTCCTGGGTACCACAGAGCCGGCGTGGTGGCTCCTGTAGCACCCGTCCTCCCAACCACTTGTGCAGGGGGCGTGGCCGGAGTACCCTGTCCATGGCGATCTCTGTAATGGCCCTGAGGCTGTTCTAATTTGTGGCAGGAACGAGACCAGCAGGTGGCCCCAGCATTCTGGGAGCAAAGTATGGCTTCAAGACTTGACATCCCACCCCTCTCCTGAGCTGCATCGAACACAACAGCCACAGCCTGGGATCCTGCCTCTCATTTTGTGCCTCAGCCATATAGCCTGGAGCAAAGCTTGTGGAAGAGGGAACACATCTTGCCCAGCCTCCCGCCTTGGGAAAGCAAGACCCTGTTTGTCCCTCCCTGAAGGGTCTGAAGTACCTTTTTCTTCTTTGGCATTTTCCATTGAGAATAAGTTCTTGTGCTCTCGAGGGTTGGGGTGGAGGAAGGAAGAGGTCTGATTACCCAACCTGCTGTGGAGGCAGAATAGAGCTCATGGGCTTTTGGGCATGGGGCTTAGCCAGAGGGCCTAGTGACTGAAAAGGCTGCTCTGCTTCCCTTCCACTGGTCCTTGGAAGATCCTTTGTAAGGTCTGTGGACCTGGTTGGAATGGAGCAATATCTAACCTATGTATCCATTATAGTGCCTGAGGACTGGAAAACAAAGAGGTCCCAATCCCTGCAGGTTTCTGTGCACGTACTTTGCATCTCCTTACGGACAGACACTTGTTGCTGTAGTTCCTGTGTTTCTAAACAATCCTCTTCAGGCTTGTGATAGTGGAACCTCAGCGTTACAAACACCTTGGGAACGGAGGCGGTTTGTAACTCTGAACAAACCGTTATGGTGGCTCTTTCAAAAGTTTACAACTGAACATTGACTTAATACAGCTTCGAAACTCTACTGTGCAGAAGAAAAATGCTGCTTTTAACCACCTTAATTTAAATGAAACAAGCACAGAAACAGTTTTATTACCTTGTCAAATGTGTTTTAACTTTCCCTTTATTTTTTAGTAGTGTACGTTTAACACTGTACAGTATTTGCCTTTTTTTGTTTGTTTGTTTGGTCTCTGCTGCTGCCTGATTACGTATTTCCAGTTCCAAATGAGGTGTGTGGTTGACCAGTCAGTTCGTAACTCTGAGGCTCTACTGTAGTTGGTTTCCTTTCTGTTCACACTTTTACTCTGGACTCTGTGGATCCTGTGTACAACAAAGAGAAGCCAGTGTCCTTTAGCTGCTGAGCCATCCGCAATTCTGCCCGGTACAATCAAGAAGCGGTACTTTGTTTGCGTGTCTGCACCACATAGTTTGGCTTCCACTGAAATTTCTGCTCTTCTCCCCTGGCCTCCAGTTGAGTGTTCTGTGTTTTGTTTCCAGAGGGTGTTAATGTCATGCCCAATGCTGTGGTGAAGTCCGTCTCTGTCTGTGGGAACCAGCTGATAATTAAACTGAAGGATGGAAGAAAGGTAAATGCCAGGCGCAGGCAGCGAGCCAGACACTTGGCCATGTGGAAAAGGAACGAATAGTGTAACCAGTCTGGATTTCTCTGTCCATCAGGTGGAGACCGATCACATAGTGGCAGCGGTGGGCCTGGAGCCCAATGTGGAGTTAGCAAAGTCTGCTGGCCTGGAGGTAGACTCTGATTTTGGAGGGTTCAGGGTGAATGCAGAGCTGCAGGCACGCTCTAACATCTGGGTGGTAAGTGTGTGTAGGTGGAAGATGCTTCTTTATCTGCTGTTTATGTTGCAATGAGTAAGCATGTATGTAGAACTGTGATTATAAACCCAATTTAGGTGAATGGGTGAATTGTGGTCTGACAATACAAGTAAGATGCAGAGAGCAGCAATCTTAGGTATCTCATTAATGCACACTTGCTGGCATGCCTTGTTCCTGTAGTAAGAATTGTGGGCAAACTTCTACTTTACAGGTATGAGCACTGTGTGCATGAGGAGTTGGCATATCCCAGTAACCCCCTCACCTCTTTGCCTAATGCCAGAGGAGTCCTGTGTTGACACACAAAGGTCCCTTTGGCAGGGAATCCAAACCTCCTTGAAGTGCAATCAGCATGACCACAAAACTATCTTAGTTTTCCCTGTTCTGGCATAAGTGCTGAAGCCATGGAGACCTGCTAAATTGGAGGCAGTCCTGCAACGCTTTGTTTTCTTTCCCTTTATGGTTGGGCAATATCTCCCATCATTCTTTTTCTCTTTAACTTGCCTTTTCTCTTGTCCATTTTTCATTGTGTGCATCTCTCTTTAAGGCAGGAGATGCTGCCTGCTTCTACGATATCAAGCTAGGCAGAAGACGCGTGGAGCATCATGATCATGCTGTTGTGAGTGGAAGATTAGCTGGAGAAAACATGACAGGAGCTGCTAAGCCATATTGGCATCAGTCAATGTTCTGGTAGTTTTACTCCCTCTTTCTGTATACCTTTTGTCACGCTGTCCGGAGTGGCTCACAAGCATGAGTGTCAGCCTCAGGGCAGACTGTCACAGAGCAGGGCACAAGCCCCAAATTGGTTGTATGTTCTTTAATTAGATTTCCAGTAACAAGTGTGAACTCCCAATATACTAGTCTTACCATGGAGTCTCACACAGTCCCCTTGGGCACACCAGTCTAAAGCTTGCCTTTGTGATAGATAGTCCCTTACACCAAAAATCACAATAATATTCAGTTTACACCCAGTCCCAAAGGACTTACACCCAGGTCACTTGCACCCAGATCTCTCACCAAAGACCGCACTTGTAGCTAATATTGTAATGAACTAACTAAAGATTTATTAACTAGGAAAAAGAAATGAGTTATTTACAAGATTAAAGCAGCTCTCTCTCTCTCTCACGCACACGCACACACACACGTTAGCCTTCCATTCTAAATGATGATAGAAACTTCTGTAATTTAAAAAAACTTGAGATGTCCTTTAGGGCTCAGCTGTTGGGGACTCCTTGTCTAGGCTAAGAAACTCACCCCTCAGAGTTCAAGCAGCAAAGGAATAATCAGTTCTCCTTAACAGGCCTTTTTATTCCCTTCCCCCAGCGTTCAAGCTGGGATGGGATGAGGGCTTGGGCATGTCCCCTCCTCAGAGCTGTGGGGGAAACAATCAACAAAGTCCTTATTCCACAATGGCCCGTTTGGACACAGTAGTGCTTTGTGATGGACAGGGGATAACACCTCTTGTGGTGAATGAGTAATTCACACTGGACAATGCTTCTCCCCTGCCTGGGGGGATTTACAGTCTGAGCAAATGTTTAAACATTACTTTGTACCATGGGAGCAGCTGTTCTAAGTAGGATTAATACATGCAGCATCCTACAAGCATTCTATTTTAACTGTACTAACCCACGGGGGAGCCAGACTGGGTCTAGCTCTGCATTTGTCAATGTGTAGTGGCTAAAAGTTACTCTCCAGTGCCTTGCTATGTTGCCAGACCAGGTACCGTGGCATGGCGCTTGCTGTATAAATCCTGTATAGTTGGCCATCCAGAAGCACAGCTGATTGCCAAGCAGCTCTGTAGGGGATGGTGCACTGCAATATTTCACTGTGAGGTAACAGGCAAGTTTGCTAGGCCATCTCCCTCTCCCCTGTTGGGTTAGATCTATACTTGTCCATTAAATGCCTGCATTGAGAGCTGTGCAGCCAAAGGTCTTGCAGGTGCTGGCTGGCACCTCTTGTATTCTGCCCACCAGGTAACCCAGCTCGGCTCAAAGCTGTTCTGGAGAAATTGGGTGTTCTGTGGCCTCCTGTTTCTTTTAAATCAATCAAATTGTTAAATGGCTAGTTAAGGTTTCAAACTGGGACACTGCAATGGTCTGTTTCTGTTTATTGCTAGGAGTGACCTGGGTCCTGATGTCGGATATGAAGCCATTGGCCTTGTAGACAGTAGCTTGCCCACTGTAGGAGTTTTTGCTAAAGCAACTGCAAAAGACACACCGAAGTCTGCAACGGAGCAGTCAGGTAGGGGAGCAGCGTTGCTGGAGGCTGTACAGCTGTCTGTAGAGTGGTAATACGTGGAAGGTTGTCATGTATTGAAGGCAGTCACTCCGCTCCCCCGTGGCAGGGGTTTCAGAACTGTGCAGGGTGGCTGAGCATCAGGAGACACCTGCCCTTTGAACTTGGCTCGCCTCCAGCCCAGACTGCAGAGTGTGCTTCTGGCCACACCACTCTGGAGAGGGGAGCAGCACCCTTGTGGGTGAGTTCTAGGCAGTGTCGGTGCACCTTTGGTCAGGTTCAGTGATCTGTGCATCTGGGGACGGCATTATTAGCCTAAACAAAGGAGAGAGCGTTTCAGCTTGAATCTCCTCTGCCTCATGCAGGAAGCAGTGTCCAACCTTCTTCCACCAGAAGGTAGGTCGTTTTGCTGCAAGGGGTGAGCTCCGACCAAAGGTTTTGGGGGTGGAGGGGAGATGTAGGAACACAGTTTAGCGACTCACCTTGGTATAAAAATTGTTGGCCAGCAATACTGGGGATGCTGCTGTGGTGGCTCTTTGGGTACCCAGGACTGAGAACCACCTTTGTTACCCCCTGCCTCCAACGTCAGGGACACTTGCTTGTGCTTGGCTGGGTGTCAGCTCCCTGACACCAGCCTGCTAGCCACCCAAGCACTTTCCTCTGGGCTCTGCCAGCTCTTTAGCTTGCAGGGTAACAATAGGTGCATCTGAGTCCCTTTGAAGCATTCCCCTGTGATAGCCAGCCCCTAACTCTGGCTGCTCACAAAATTACCAGGTCTGCTGTTCCCAAAGGGTCACTGTACACACCATGATTCCACTCAGGATCAGCCCTTTGCTTAACATCACAGCACTCTGAAAACAAGAATAAGTTTATCATTAAAGACTAAAAATTCCGGAGATAGTGAGTAGGGGTCTTGGAAACAAATGGTTACATATCAAACAAAATCGTAACGCACTTTCTACAGGCTACACTTAACGGACAAGTGACTCTCTTGTCTAAAGACGCTTATTTCACCCAGGACACGTCTCCTCTTCACAGTGGTGCATTGTATTTTGCAACATTGCAGCTATTGGCATGGTCTGGATAGGAAATTCAGAGCTCTTTCAACAGGCTTTGCCTTGCAGACTAAAAGCTTCACTCTTGCATGACACTTCCAGTGTGTGACTCTCCCGGGATTTTTTGCTGTAGGGACTGGCATCCGCTCAGAAAGTGAAACAGAAGCAGAAGCCTCTGAGATTACCATCTCTGCCAGCTCTCCCTCAACACCTCAAGTTCCAAAGCAAGGAGAAGACTATGGCAAAGGGGTCATCTTCTACATCAGGGACAAAGTGGTGGTGGGAATTGTCTTATGGAACATCTTCAACCGGATGCCAATTGCTCGAAAGGTCAGATGTTTCCTCTCTACTGATGAGTGGTTGGGGCACTTGAGTTCACCAAGTGTCATGTATGCAGTATGAGTCGGCAGCAACCGTACATATTAGAGCAGCAGAATAAATTTTCATAGTAGGAAATTGTGGCTAAGTACTAGAATCTAATGTACCTTCACCTGCGATGTTTTGTCCTGTCTTTACAGCCAGCTGGGAAATAGGTAGACAAGCTATTTTTGTAGGGAGAGTAACCCTATTTTTATCCCTTTCCAGGCATCCTTACTTGCCAGGGTACTGTCTTTTTGAATGGATCATAGGAATTGCCACAGCAGACCAGACCATTGGTCCATCTAACCTAGTTATAGTGTTTCCAGTAGTGGCCAGTAGTAGGTGGTTCAGAAGAAGTGTAGGAAACCCTCTAATGGCAACTAGAAATGTGGACTCCACATACATAGTGTGTGCAGCCCTCAACACCCTCTTCTGTCTCCTCAGATCATTAAAGATGGAGAGGAGCATGCTGACCTCAATGAAGTAGCGAAGCTCTTCAACATCCATGAAGATTGAACCCCTGCTCCAAGACCCGTCTGGCTGGGATGCATCGGTGTAAGTGGGGACACACATGCTGCAGGCTGAGAGCTCTCCCCGCCTTGGAGTGCTGACTCTGTGTTCTGAGTACTTTGTGAATATTTCCAGTAATCTAGAACTCTAACATTTGCACCAGTAAATAAAACCAGATTCTTCTAAATTCAAGGCCTTTTTCCTAAAGATGTGAGTTGTTGTGGAAAAATTAGTCACTTGTTGTTTGCTCCACTAGGGTGAGGGCAGTGGTGTTGTCTGCTCCGCTAACGTTCACATTCTAGCAGCCTGCAGAGCTACCACCTGGGATTGAGTGCACACGTTCACACGGTATTACCCTGGGTGCTTGGCACTACCATCCTTTGCTGGCTTTAGGAGGGCAGTTCTTCAATTCTGGCTAAAATCCTGCAAATTCAGATGGAGGAATTTATGCAATAAGAGGGGGAGAAGAATCTCAAATGTGTGCTTAAAAATCACAACACAGAGTTCTGATCATAAAACTGCACCCATTATCAAATATGTGCTCCCCATGCAGATATTTATAGGCTGGGAACAAGTCATCCTTTAATCTCTTTTAAGCTAAAGAGATTGAGCTCTTTGCATCTTTCACGCTAATGCATGTTTTCCATTAATCATTCTCATGGTTATTCTCTGACCCCTCTCCAGTTTATCAACATCTTCCTTGAATTGTGGACCCCAGAACTGGGCATAGTATTCCTGCAGCAGTCACGCCCAATACAGCAGTGCCAAATACAGAGTAAAATAACCTCTCTCTCACATGAGATTTCGCTGTTTATGCATCCAAGAACCACATTAGCCCTTTTGGCTACAGGATTGCACTGAAAGCTCATGTTCAGGTGATTTTGGGCATGATGGATAATCTTTTTTGGAGTCACTGCTTCCCAGGATAGAGTCCCCCATCCTGTAAGTATGGCCTACATTCTTCTTGGAGTAATTGCACGTGTCCATTCCACTGTATGTGTTCGCCCCTCGTGTACAGTTATTGGAGAACTTTTTCCCTCAGTGGTACTTGTTGGGGCAGCTCAAGTGCCCTCTGCCATTGTGCACCACTGTATGCAGGTATAAGAGGACAGAGCCACCCCCTTCTCTCCTTCAGTTCCTTCTGACCACCAGTGATGGTTGCTGGAGAACGTCTGGTCTTGCTATTGCGAGTTTTTCCCTCACTCTTTGTATATCATTTTTGTTCTCTTAGTAGTTGGCTTGGTAAAGAGCATAGTTAGTGCTAGTGATAGGTTTTAGTTTTAGGTCCATTTTGGACCAAATTAGAATCTTGGTACTAGGACCAGTACTGGAGCCATGCTTCATTCTCTGGGGGGTTTAAAATTCTGCCTGTTTTGTGCCAAGCCAGTGCTGATCAGCGACCCCCCACCCCCACCCCAGCTGCCTAAAATGTTTGGAGGAGTCCCATATCTGTGACAAAAGTCCCACATCTCTCTAAAAAAAGAGAGAGCAGCGAGATTTAAGTGTCTCCTTATGGAGGTGGCATTCTCTCTCCATCAGAGCTGTCAGGTTCAGAACATACTCCAAATGCTGCACCTTTGGTATGGCACACACCACCAGAGATGTCTTCAGCACCTCGTTCTGTGTCTCTGGTACTGAAGAAAAGAGACAAATCAGTACCCCATTCAGCAAGATCAATGGTACCAAGGCCATCTAGAAACACAGACTCTGGAAGAGACTGAAGGGAAGCATTCCTCATCTAGAAAGGGGGGATAGTAGACACTGGAACATGTGCTAGGTCTGTTGAGGCCGACCCCTGAAGTTCCTATGCAAGACATCAAACTCAAAACCCAATTCCAGTACTATGGCAGAGGAGTATGTAGCTGCTAGAGAACTAATCAACCTTTCAGTACCAGTGTTTCTGGGCACTGGGGTGTGCCTCCCCGCTAGAACCTCTGCTCACCCATATCAGTTGACTTACTTGAGGGTGCACTGAGATCATCAGCTCTGCAGACAGCATTCTCCGATAAGGACCAGGACTGAGCAGCTGGAATTTACTGAGACAGCTCCTCCACCACAAGAGACAGACCAGTCATTGCCTCAGCATTGTGATGTGTCGTCTTCATCGCCAGATGAGGTTATGGAAATGGTGAGTGATTCACCACCACTGGAAGATTGCCCGGCTCACCAAGTACTGTTTAAAAGGGTGGCCTTGTTGTTAGACATTCACTCGGAAGAGGTCTGCAAGAAATCCCACAAGCTAGTGGATGTATTAGCTTTGATGGGGCTCTCCAGAGCAGCACTCCCGATTAACGGAGCAATTCTGGCTCTGAAAGACCCCTTCTTCCCTCTGTCCTATGGCAAAATGGGCAGAGAGGAGATACTATGTCCCTTCTAAGGATTTCAAACACCTCTACTCTCATCCTCCCACAGGTTCTTTAGTGGTGGCGGCAGCTAATGAATTGGAGAGATGGGCATTGAGCATCAACGTCAAAGGGGAAGGAGTTGAAGAGATTGGACCTGCTTGATGGTAAACTTTATTTAATGTGGGGCTGCAACTTAGAATTGCCAACCATCAAGCTCTTCTACATCACTGTGATTTCACTCTGTGGGAGAACATCATGAAGTTTAAAGACAGGCTACTGGACGACCCCAGGCAGGAGTTCAGTGTGATGGTGGAGGAAGGCAAGCTGGTGGCCAGGACAGTTTGGATGCGATGGACTCAGCAGCTCGATCTATGGCATCTACCATACCTGTGAGTAGATGTTCATGGCTGCAGTCTTCCGGTTTCCCTCCTGAAGTACAGCAGACCATCCAATAACATCTGCCCTTTGAAGGTGAAGGACTACATAGCATAAAGGATTCCAGGGTAACTCTGAAATTTCTCGGAATCTGTACATGGGCGACAGAGGAAGCAGATCTGGCCCCAGCAATCTCATAGATATCAGCGCTTTATACCTTGGCCCCAAGACCTGCCAAGAAAAAGGGTTCAGGAATTACATGAGGTGATGACCTCCCCTCTCCTTGGCTACAGCAAGTTCCTCTCGACCACCGGCCCAGTTTGACAGTTTGTTTAGGGCAACACACCAATCTGTTCCTACCCATATAGCTTTACCAACCATCTATTCCACTTCCTCCATACTTGGACTCCCACCAGATAGGAGTATAGTGGGTCCTAAGCATGGTGGATCTGAAATACTCCTTTCCTTTCTATCCCCCGTTCCCACCCTGTCCCTTGTGAGGGAGCACACTCCCGAGACCATTCTTCAGCAGGAGTCCAATCTCTCCTTCTAGCAGGGGCCATAGAGCAAGATCCTCTGTTCCTCACAGGGGAGGGTTTTATTCCCACTATTTCCTTATTCCCAAAGCAAAAGACTGTCTTAGGCCTATCTTAGATCTAAGAGAGTTTAACAAGCATCTGAAGAGAATAAAGTTCTGCATGGTTACCCTAGCTTCCATCCTTCCTTCCTTGGAACACGGGGACTGGTATGCTGCCCTTGACTTAAGACATTTATTTGCATATAGTGATCTGTCCAGGCACCAGGAGTTTCTCAAGTTCCTAGTGAATAGAGCCCACAACCAATTCACACTGCTGCCATCCAGCCCCTCAGCAGCCTCTCATGTTTTCACAGAGAGCACGGTGGCAGTATCTGCGTACCTTTGGGATCTTGGGGAATCACGTATTCTCCTACCTGGACGACTGGTTCATGAGAGCCCAGTCTGAGTCTCAAGTAATTTGCAGCATGACCATCATCCAGTCCACCTGCAATTGCTCAGTCTGGACAAATACATTCTATTTTTTGCACAGGTTCCAGAATCGATCAGAGGTTCTACGAAAGCCAAAGCGTTTCTATCTCAGTCAAGGTTCCAAGCGCTCCATAGCCTGGGCATGGAACTGAAAGCACAGTCCATTACCACAGCGCACAGTCCTCAGACTCCTGGGGCAGCTGACAGCATGTACCTATGTAGTACAGCTTCCCAGACTACGCCTCAGGAGGCTTCAGGAATGGCTAGCATTGGTGTATGGTCCCAATCGACCTTATCTAAGCAGACATCATCCAGAGGTAACTTTGTCCTCTCTGGACTTGGACAGGTTGTATAGGAGTTCCCTTCCTTTCCTTGTAACCATGGGAACTCTGCAAACTCAAGGTTTGTGGTCTTCACAGGGTCTGAGGACTCATATAAACATCAGGAAGCTACATGCAATCCGTCTAGCGTGCTTGGCTTTCTGTCCACATATTGTGAGAGAGAAGCTGCTAATATTAACAGACAACACAGCAACTATGTTCTACGTAAACGGACAAGGAGGGGCACGTTCATCGCAACTGTGCCAGGAGAGTTCTGCATCACCGCTCCCTTCACCTCAAAGCTGCTTACACCTCCCAGGAGAGCAGAACACATTGGCAGATCACCTGAGCAGGTCCTTCTCCACTCAGCTGGAATAGTCACTATGTCCAGATGTGACCAGCCCCTTCTAGCTGCGGGGGGACTCCCCAAATGGAGCTGTTTGCAACAAAGGCAAAAAGGAAATGCCATCAGTTCTGCTGTCAGGGGGCGGCAGGGGTCACAGCCTGGGTCGTGGGCAGAAACTTTCCTACTACCATGGAAGAACTCCCTGCTGTATGCCTTCCCTCTGTTACCATCACTGTCCAGTCTTGTTCAAGACCAAACAGGACCATAATTATCTCATACTATTAGCACCAGCGTGGCCTTGGTAACACTCCTAGTGTTGTTAGTGAGAGCTCCTCTGCCTCTCCTGTTGGCTCCAAATGTGATTCTCAGAACGATGGCCATCTGCTCCATCCCACCCTGCAAGCCCTTCACTTGACAGTGTGGATGCTTCATGGCTAACCCAATTGGAAAGGGATTGCTCGAAAGCCGTTAAGAAATGCTTCTGAGTAGCAGAAAGCTTTCAGCTAGGCATACTTACCTGGCCAAAGGGAAACATTTTTCTATCTGGTCTCTCCAGTGCAAGCTTCCATCACCCACATTTTGGGCTGTCTGTTGCACCTAAAACATCAAGGTCTGACTGTTCTATTAAAGTACAGTTAGCAGCTATTTCAGCTTTCCACCCTTCAGTAGGTAATAGACTGCTTTTTTCCAACCCCATAGCTATCAGATTTCTAAAAGGGTTAGACACGTTATACCTACAGGTGCAAGAACCTGTTCCCCCATGGGATCTCCACCTGGTGCTAGCAACATTAACGGGACCA